ATCTTCCAATTGTAATTTATATGGAATGATAAAGAAATAAGCAAAATAAACAGTTTATATATATAAAGAACATATTCAAGAACAAAAATACCAAGTTTTATTATCATCTGAAAATTTTTTTAATTTAAAACTAATATTAAAAAATGTATTAAGTTACCAATATTTACGCCATTTTTTCCATTTTCAACATCTATCTTTTTAAAATTATTATAACTTTTTCTTTTGTAAATTTTTCTATAAATCAGATTTGCAAGTCTTTGGACATTTTAACTATTGTGAATTATTTGTCAATTATCTATTTGTTTTTTTTTGTTTTTAAAAAATTTTGTGTTTATTGTTTATTGTCTTTTAAAACCTCTTTTATATGATTTTAATTTGATTTGTTTATTTCAAAATCTTATTAAAATTTTTTGTTTATAATTGAATTAAAATCAAAACAAAAAACATTATATAAAAAGAAATGGCTGTTCTTTTTTTTTTTATAAAAATGTATTTTTATTTTTAATTTAAAAAACTTTTACTATTTTTTACTAAAACTAACAGTTGAGAAAATTTTATTCAAGAAAAAGATGTGGATTTGTTACAACAAAATTATTGATGTATAAATTTAAAAACAAAAAATATATTTTTTAGATATCGTCCATTTTATTGAAAATGATATATCTGTCTTTATCCTTTTAAATATAATAGGTTTTTGATTATTTTATTATACATATATATATATAACGATATTTAATATTATAAATATATATATTTTGGAAAATTTAAAATTTATATATTTTATAAAATTTTTTTTTAAATTTTTATTTTAAAATTTATTTTTTTTTTAATATTTTAAAATTTAATATTATAATAAACATTTTTTTATAACACTAGATATTATTTATTTATATCATTTTTATTTTTAAAATTTATATTTTAATTATGGAAATATATCAGAATGAAAATTTTCAACAGAAAAACGTCTGTATATTCAAAATACTTTAATAAATTGACATTTATATTTTCTATAAAACTATAACCAATTTATATCTTTATTTTATTTATATATATATTTTATCAAAATTTTATTTTTTTTTTAATTAGACACATTTTATTTTATATATTTATCGTTTTATTTTATTTTTGGAATATTTAAAGAATATTTTGATATTAGAAAATTAAATAGGTTTTCATATTAACATCATTTATATATTTTTTTTTTATAAATTATTTTTCATTTTTTCTATTAAAAATGACCTAAATTTGAAAAAAATTTATATTATTTTTAAAGATCTTGTCGGCAAAATTTTTGAAATTGAAAGTATATCTTTAATATTGAAAGTATCTGAAATAGAAGAAAGTATGAGAAAAAAAGATTCAAGAAATAAGCAAAAATTTACAAGTAAAGGAAAAATATAAATGCATAAATTTATAAATATAGTGTTCAAGGACATTATACATCATGGAAAAATGAAGAAGGCTTTCATCTTTGTTCGAATCTTTTGGTCATACATCCAGAAAGTGGTGAAAAATCTATTTGGTAGAAAATATACAAAACTTCTGTCAGATTTAATCATTAAATAAACGAATCTAATAATGAGATCGTCTTAACATCAATTAGAAAAAAATTAGTTCTTAATCCACGGATACCAATTGTCATTCATCTATATCTGGAAATCAAAAATAATGTTTAAATTTCTAAAAAAACAAAACATGCAAATTTTATAATTAAATTAAAAGATGAAGAAAATAATGATGAAAAAATCTTGTTTGTTTTCTATCTTTTGAATCAAAAATATCTACAGAATTTAAAAAAAACTGTTCCAAAACTTGTCTTATTAAGCTGAATATATTCATTTAAAAAAAGGTATTTGATTATTTTAACTATTTAACATTAAATTCAATAATGGAAAAAAAATCTCTCTCTTAGGCTCATCATAAAAATAAAGAAACTGAAAGTATAAATATATTTCTTCGTTAAACCTCAGAAAGAAAAGACATCATTCATTTAAATAATTTTAAAATCTCGACTTTTTAAAATTTTTTTTTGAACTGGCTATGTCTAGAAAGTCTTTTAAGAATTTTTTTTCTTTTTTTGAAACCGAAAAAAATTATCTGCCCGATGAATGCATACCAATGCAAATTTAAACTACAAATGTACTAGACCAAAAACGATAAAATATTTTAAAAACCCATTCGCTGTAAAACAAAAATATAAAATATCTAATTTTATGAAAATTTCGTTGATGTTGTTGTTTATGATGACGGTCGTCTTCGAGTATAGAATCCAGAGGTTAGCAGTGGATATTTCGAAGACAGTAGGAAAGCGTTGTTCAGGTTAGCAGTGGATATTTTGGTAAAAGTAGCAGAGCGTAGTTCGTCCTTCTGTTATCTCTTCGCCTGACAAGCTTGACTGGACATTCGGATAGAGTAAACAAAATGGACGCCTTTATATACGACGGATTGAATATTCTACGTCTTCTGATTGGTTAACCTTCTATTGGTGGACTATAAAGTGAGTCAAGTCATTTGACTGGCTCACTAGTACATATATATACAAAAAATCCTCGACATTTTCTTTCATTTTTTTTCTTTTCACACTGAAACGATTAAAACGAAAAGAAATCGTAACTCTTTAATCAACTTGATGTTTAATACAAGTGCTTTTTAGTGTAATTCTGCTTTTATAGGTGAAATATCCCATTCAATTCGTATTCTACATAGTCCTGGGTACGACGATAAACTACATTCGGCAGCAAGGCCCCTGATTGGGAGATTAGAACTTTTGGGGAGCGTGGATTCACCTTTTAATTGCCGTTCTTCCCAGGTCTACCCTGACCCTGGGTGGTAGCACCTGTTAGGGTCCCAGCTATAGGCAAATAGTGAACTTCCAAACAAAAATAAAACCCCATGAAAGTATAAAAACACATTTTTTTTCTACGTCCTCTGGCATCTTCTCACATTCCTAATTTCTGCTACAAAATGCGAGGTTAATTTGCAGCGTAAGGACCAAAAGACGCTGCATTGAGAATCTACCATTCTGCTGTGAAATTGCCTGTTTATTTCGAAAATGACATTAAAAAACTGCTCGATTAGCATTTCGATTTATCGTCAATGTAAGTTCGATCTCTTTCGCGTTGACCGGTCGCCATTACTGGCGTTTTTACATACGTTTGCCTCTAGTAATAATACGCGGAAGCTTAGTGGCCTTTTTACAGCTTTTTGTATCTTACTGTTCTTGATAACTGCGCGATTTTCGTGGATGTTATTTTAAAAAGCGCTTATTTCTTCAAATGAAGTTTTAAATGGTTTTAGTATTTTTACTTTATTGTCCTTAATAAATCTGCTTATAGCTAATGAAACAGAATCTCACCCTAAAATGCAATTTACGAAGCTTTAAATTCAAGAAACTTTCACGACTAATAAAAAAAAAAACGTCGTTGTAAAAAATGTAAAAAAATCCTTTTTTTTACTTTTCAGACAGTAATTTTTATTTTATTTTATTTTAATTTTCGGATTTTATGTTTATTTGCGTATTATTTCGTGCATTGCGCAGTAATCAAGAAAAAAAATAAAGGCTTTTCCTTGCCGCATCTCTGACTCAAAGCAAACGTAATAATCAAAAAAGTAATGGCGTTGTGTATTTCGACATTCCAAAGAAGTATAACTTACATTGTCCATAACTTCTAAACAGTAATGGAGCGCAGTGTTTTTAATGTCATTTTCGAAATAACCAGGCAATTTCACACCAGAATGGTACATTCTCAATACCGTGGGCTTTTGGTGCTTATGCTGCAAATTAACCAAACGTGATGGAAATAACATGGAATATTACAAATAAGTCCTAGCAAACTTAATGGTGTCTGCGACCAAACTTATCCGCTGAAGAAAAGTCGATGTTTTCGTCATCTACGGACTCCCGCGCTGATAACAAATTGAGGAGCTGATTCTTGTTTGTTCATTTCGTATGTCTTAACAAGAGTGAGCGTTTTTCAAAACGAGGTAGGAAAGCGCGCCAATCATCAACTGTAATCTGATTGGCTAAAAATTAAACTGTATCTCTTTATTTCTCATATTTCACCCTACAAGCTTTACAACAGAAAAGGTAGAACAGGCAGACTTAAGAAAAAAATGGGCTGATGAATTATTCTGGAAGATATTTCAGAACATTCATTAACTTTTTCATTTCCATTTCACTACTTTCACGTCTAAGCTTACACCCGTGGTATACCCAGATAGTCACCTATCTAGTTACCGACCTTGCTTTTATTCTGCCATTGTACGGGAATCGGTGTTTGGATGAAATGCGGCTATGAGTCCACCTTGTAAGTTAGCGCCTTTGGCAAATAAATATAATTCACAGAGACTCGGACATTGGCACGCAACCAAGACAGATGGTTGGAGCTGGTAAGGTGTTCAGCCACCCAATGACAACTCTCGGTTAGGACTTATGTTAATGCTGATTCGATTTAGTTAATACAGATATGACGTTGCGACACGCCAACAAGGGCACATTTTTTTAAGATCCTATCTTTAAAAACCAATGATCTTTTTAATAGTTGCTTTGTAGCGTGTTCCGTCATCTATCTCTGCTATTTAAGACAGTTTTTTTTTAATCTTTTATTTTCGGCTGGAAACAATCCAACAGCTAAAAGTACCAACTAAGAATAAACAAAGGAATTGAGATTTATGTAGCAAAACTTAGTAAGCCTTTGGTTACTGCACTCTACGAACTTCCATTACGGATAGAGACGGAAATAGCGAGAGAACCACTAACAGATTTTGTCTCAAGACTGAGAGAGAAAAAAAAAATTGAGAGAAAAAAATAAGATGAATAAGACGGAAACTGAAGAATAAAGTGTACAGAAGAGCAAAAAAAAAAAAAAAAAAATGACGGAATACAGTCGGAAAGAGGAAAAACAAAAGAATCTGTTACGGCGCACAAAAAAAGGCGGGAAATAAGATGTAGGCGGGAAAAAAGGATCGGCTGTTCCGTGTCGTTTTTGACTGCAACAGCCATGAATAATACGACATTGTCTTTAATTACGGAGATAATATTCCTTCTTTATATTCTCTTTTCCTTTTTTTTCCTTTTTCTCTTTTTTCTTTCCTTCTTTCTTTCTTTCTTTCTTTTCTTTTTCTTTCTTTCCTTTATCTTTTCTTTTCTTTTTAAATTTTTTTTTTTTTTTAAATATTATTTTTTTCATTCTCATTCTTTCTTTCTTTCTTTCTTTCTTTCTTTCTTTCCTTTTTCTCATTCTTTCTTTCTTTCTTTTTTCTTTCTTAACTTTTTTCTCTTTCTTTCCTTTCATTCTCTCTCTTTACTTTTAATTTTTTCTTTCTCTCTTTTTTCTTTCCTTTTCTCATTCTTTTTCTCCTTCTTTCTTTTTTCTTTACATTTTCTTCTTTCTTTCTTTTTCTCTTTGCTTGTTTCTTTTGCTTTCTTGTCTTTTCCTCTTCTTTTTTGTTTCTTTCTTTTATCTTTTCTCCTCCTGTCTTTGTCTTTCTCTCTTTTCTTTTTTCCTTCTTTTCTCTTTCTTTTTCTTTTTCTTTCTTTTCTCTTTCTTTTTCTCTTTCTTTCTTTTCTATTTTTCTTTCTCTCTTTTTTAATTCATTTTTGTTTCTTTCGTTTTTCTCTCTCTTTATTTTGTATTGCTTTTCTTTCTTTTTTCTTTCTTTCTTTTTCTTTCTTTTCTTTTTCTTTTCTTTCGTAACTTTTACATTCTTTTTACCTTTCTTTCTTTTTTCTTTAAATTTTCTCCTTTCTTTGTTTGTTTGTTTCTTTCTTTCTTTACCTTCCTTCTATCTTTGTCTTTCTTTCTTTTTTCTTTTTCATTCATTCTTTCTTTTTCTTTGTCTCTTTCTTTCCTTTTAATTTTTCTTTCTTTATCTCTTTTTTCATTCATTTTTGTTTCTTTCATTTTTCTTTCTCTTTCTTTCTTTTTCTTTCTTTCTTTTTCTTTCCTTCTTTCGTTTCCTTTCTTTCTTTTTTTCTTTTCTTTTTTCTTCATTCTTTCTGTAAGCAAAAGTAAAAGTAGGTTAAAGAAAAAGATTAAACATAGTCACTAACAAATTTGGAACGTTTTTTGTCATCTCATCTTTCCGACATTACTGCTGTCCAAGCAGTAGTAGCAGATATAATAGTTTTACTTTTTTCTAAAGTTTGAAGATAAAGTATCATCATTAAATCTTGATTGGCTTTTCACTCATTATATTTTTTGTTGTCCAATCAGTGAATGCTAGACAATTTCCTCACGGATAAAGAAGAGATTTGAAGCAACAGAAATGTGGTTCTACAGAAGGATGATGAGAATACCATGTGAGCGACGACGAAGTTTTAAAGAAAATGGAAACAAATAGGAAACATACATAACATCAGGAAGAGGCACTTGAAACTTCTAGGGCATATACTGAAGAAAGGCGGCTTGGAAAATTTGATACTCGCAGTATAGACTGAAGGTAAGAACGACAGAGAAAACAACGCATAACATAGCGAGCTTGAGTAAAGGGATGGCGGGAAAAGGTTTAGGAGAAATAATAGAAAGACAAAATTTATTAAGAGCTACAAAGTAGAGGAAATTGTGGCGAGCCATGATCATCAACGTCCTCAAGGGACACGGCATATTGGAGAAACAGTAGTAGTAATAGACATAATAGGTCAATTACTAATATCTACCGAGAAATTAATAACGTACATCATCTAATCACTATATCGAGTATTGATGAGGTAGATCGTGTACGATCGATCTCGTATATTGGTCGACTCTAGATGTGTGCCAAGAAATTAATCTTCATTACGTATATTCGATCTCGTGTATAGGTCGATTGATGACATTAGCGATTAAATCAATGTGGCCCGTATATAATCGATCGCGTATATTGGTCGGCTCTAGATGTGTACCAAGAAATTAATCTTCATTGCGCATATTCGATCTCGCGTATAGGTCGATTGATGATATTAGCGATTAAATCTATGTGGCCCGTATATAATCGATCGCGTATATTGGTCGGCTCTAGATGTGTACCAAGAAATTAATCTTCATTGCACATATTCGATTCCGTGTATAGGTCGATTGATGACATTAGTGATTAAATCTATGTGGCCCGTATATAATCGATCGCGTATATTTGTCGGCTCTAGATGTGTACCAAGAAATTAATCTTCATTGCGCATATTCGATCTCGTGTATAGGTCGATTGACGACATTAGCGATTAAATCTATGTGGCCCGTATATAATCGATCGCGTATATTGGTCGAATCTAGATGTGTACCAAGAAATCAATCTTCTTTGCGTATATTCGATCTCGTGTATAGGTCGATTGATGATGATAGCGATTAAATCAATGTGGCTCGTGTATAATCGATTTCGTATATCGGTCGATTCTAGATGTGTCAAGAAATCAATCTTCCTTCGGCATATTCGTTCTCGTGTATAGGTCGATTGATGATGATAGCGATTAAATCAATGTGGGTCGTGGATGATCGATCTCGTATATTGATCAAATCTTGTTACTTCGTAAAAAATCATTATACCTTGTGTATATTCGATCTCGTGTCTAAGCTGATTCATGATGTATACTATGAAATCGATAACGTAATCTCGATCTCGTGTATTGGTCGACTCATAATATTTATGAGACGATCAATAATTTACCTCGTGTATTTTCCATCTCGTGTACAGATCGATTCCTGCTACTTGCCAAGAAAAAAATCAATGCATCTCATATAGTCCCTATCCCGTGTACTAGTCGAATCTCGTTATATATCAAGAAATTTAAAATGTTTCACATCTATTATTGATTTCGTGTATAGGTCGTTTCATGATATTTACGAAAAAAAATCAATAACTTGCCTCTGGTATATTCGAGCCTGTCTAAAGATCGATTCACGAAATTTGCCAAGAAAGTATTGGGCCTCGGGAAATCTCGATTTCGTGTATAGGTCGACTTCTGATATTTATCAATAAATCAGTTACGCGCCTCGTGTATCTTCAATCTCGTGTACAAGTCGACTCATGATATTTCCAAGAAATCTGTAATGCATTTTGTTTATAATCGATTTGGTGTATTAAAAATCAATAATATGTTTCGTGTATATTCATATAAATATATGGATTCAGTATATATGTTTATATATATATATATATATATATATATATATATATATATATATAAATAAATATATATATAGTGGTTCCAACGAGAGAAAAGTATGTATATTAAAAAGAAGAGAAGAGAGGTGCCGCAAACGTTTTTGGTTGTAATGTGGATTTATTTAGAAAAAATATTATGCTTTGCTTTACATAATTTTACTACACGTGTTTCTGGTCTCGTGACCGTCTTCAGGTAAAAGCGGAGATTTCCACATATTATTAAAAATAATTCATTTTGTCTTTTGTTTTTCAATGTTAAATATTCTCGATATGAGACATTTTCTGTTTTTGTGTTTCTTGAATTTCTTTCAATTGGCAATGAAGAGTTCTGCGCGAAGGGTCATAAAACAATTAAGGTTGGCCCAGATTAAATGATGAATTATTATTATCGGCATTTTATCTTTTAATGTTTTACTGACCACTGTGTGTTCTTAGATCTGTTTCCATTTTCGTGTGTTTCTGTCAGCATGCGTGTATATATATGTATACGTAACTTTCCCCTCCATACATATACTGTCTTACTATGAATTTAGTAAACTCATTTGTATATATACACGCATACACAGACGTACGCACATATACACCATTCCACTACAAGGAATCAGTTTTTACACACATACACACACACACACACACAACATATTTACACACATAAATAGGAAGCAAATGGAAGTACATACACATAACATATACACATACATACAAACACATACATATTTACACAACAATCATGTACAGTCTAAATTGTGTGGGGTTTTGTATGAATTTTAAAAACCCTTTTGTTCCCCTGTTTTGTCAACATGCATATATATATATATATATATATATATAACATATATATATATTATATATAAGATAAATTTTGCATATATATATATATATAAATAAATGTGTTTATATATATATATATATATATATATATATATATATATATATATAAATGGGGTCTGTATTTTCATAATATTCCAATATTATAATTTAATACATTGGATGACTATAATATGTTCCAGTAATTTGGATCGAATATCGATTCAATGTTATAAAATTTATATAGTTTTTTCTGTTATTTATTTTATAAATTACAGACAAATTGTTTCTTGTATCACAGCTCATCAAATAAAATTGAGATGCGTTGCTAATTCATAGCAGCGGAGAAATATCTATTTAACGCATTACGTACGAGATATAAATTTTCATGGCTTTTAGAAAAGCAGGCAATTCTTGGTGAGAAAGAGCTTTTATCGTTAATTAAATATAGTCGATAATTCCCTTTCTTTCATAAGTTCATAAACTATATGCTTTTATATGTAGTCATCCATAGACAATTTAAAAATATTTCGCTTTATGATAATCAATATCCTAGACTTTTACAATTTTTTCAAGCCGGGACTGATTTGACATCAGTCAAGACTCTCAAATAAAATATCAGTGTATATATATATATTGTTATGGAGTGGTTTCACAGTGGAGGCTTGTATTTGTACTAAGATTTGTAGATTCCTTTCCTTTTCTCAGTTATTTCCAGAATTTTGTTTTGAAACTCCTTATGCATCTGTTCCATTTCTCGTTGAAACTGCATTTGTCCATTAAAAGTTTCCTCCTGTAGTTGCATCTGGAATGTCTTCTGTTGCTCTAATATTGTCATCTGTTGTTCTGTCTGGAACTTTAAAAAATTCCTGGAATATATTTTTGCATTTCTCCATCTTCGCAAAGTTTACACAATGCTTAAATATTGTAGAGGGGGGGGGTGTTACGAATTTTCAATTCGTGACCTATTTGAGCAAATTGTCTTATCGAGAAAAAAAAAAATTCTTTGCTCAGTTGAGAATAAATTAAAAATGAATTTTTCGTCACTGAGTTGACGTCTTGTCTTTCAACGAAAAAACTTGCCAAGTTTTTTTTTTTAATGTGAATCCGAAATTTTGTCGCCGAAATTGTGACGAGCAATTTTTTTCTTTTTTAAAGGAATCCGTATGAGTACGAATTTCGTCACCAAAAGTTGTTCAGAACGAATTTTTTTCTTCCACCGAATGAATACAGAATACTTAAAATGCAAATTTGTTATTTAAGTGAATTTTTTTTCACCGTATGAGTACAAATCCCTCGTCGCCAAAATGTGTTATATAGAAACGAATTTTTTTCTTCCACCGAAAGATTCGAATACCTCGTCGCCAAGTGTGTTAAATGTTATAGAGTGGTTTCACAGTGGAGGCTTGTATTTGTACTAAGTCGATCCTAAAATAGGTTCGACGTACAAAACGTTAGGAACTTGATATAATAGGTAATGACGCAGAGAAATCTAGTGATGGTCGCTGATACATTAGTATCCGACTAACGGTCGTCCGGCATCGACTGACTGCCCGACCCACTGAGCGACTGACTCGTTACTCTTACTACCATTCTACTTATTATAGGTGGGATAGTCTATTAACAATAGAATAGAATCCATTTGTGTTTAATATATATATATATATATATATATATATATATATATATATATATATATATATATATAATAAAAAATCCCAGAAACCATTTAACGTTTTTAGTTGTAATGTTG